TTGGTTACCCTACCCAAGAACATGTAAAATCATTAGCTGATGAATATCAACCATACCTTTGTACATTTACCGCATCAATTCTTGTTATATGCAAACCTATCTCTACCATGAATCGTTTCTCAGTCCATAAGATGATTGTCGTAACGCAACCTTCGTAACTTGCGCCAATTATTCGCATTGAACATTCCATCTTTAAGAACACAATGAATCTTGTGAAATGTTTCAGTAAATGTATACCGTTTTAAAAGAAATATGTTGTTAATCTTAACATTTTGATCTTGCCTGTAAATTGGCATGTCTCTTGTAACATGTTTGTTATTTGAGAATAAATTATTATTATTATTATTATTATTATTACATATGTACGATGATCATAGAATTGTTAATATTTGTGTAAAGTTATTATAAAGAAACGCGATTAACCGTTTCCGGTCACTGGACACTTATGAGTATGGTTGATGTGTAACGATGTGGGTAGTGATATTAACTATCATCTGCTCGAACATGGTTTAGATTGCTCAGTAATCTGCCTCAGTACAGCAGATATATTCTCACTGCATACTTCCTAATATATGTGAGATTTTGAAAGTTGAAGAAAAATGGTTGCTGTTCAGATATAATTGACGTTCAGTCAACATTATCGTTTAATTTAAGTAGATAGACCGTAGAATGGAAAGTAAAGGAACGAAGTCTTGAGGATCCGAATAAGTAAATAGGCTGAATGTCCCGCTGTAGCATGACGGAGTGTTAGTAGTAAGGCTATAACAGTCGAGACATCTCATTAGTGAGGGTAAATGGGCACATGCAATTTGAAATAGAAGATTTGATACATGTATCCGGTAATATAAGTGATTATCCCTTATATTTCTTTCGACTTATTTCAGCAAGCAATCAACTAATGCAACAAGATGACAATGTGTGTAGGCGCTAATCAGTGCAACAGCATAAGTGCGCATGTACCTCAACCGTGATAAAAGTACAAAATGTCTGTTAGCTGCTTCATTTGTACGTACAGATTGTCGATTTGAAAGAATACGATAAGATCTGAGATAATGTGCTGTCGTTACACAGTTATCCATTTATTGTATGTAAGTTTTCATAAAGTCATCGAATGTACTCAGCCGATGATACTTTATGTACGAAAGTATACAAAAATTTGATTACCGAAAATGCAGTTAGTGTGAACCAAGAATGTTGAACAAAATTATACGCATTTACTTCATGAGTTGCAGTTCGTACGGTTTATTAGATGATGTTTACGTCCAGATGTTGTTGAATCAAGATTGCTTTGACATAAACATTCATTATTATAATTCATTGCACAAGTACTGTTCCAAAAGAATTCTTCAGACGTAAACGTTACGTTTGTATTACTGACACTGTTATTAGGCGTTTAACTATGACTTGATTCAATCACTTTGTTGCTGTTTTTGATATTCCTGCGAGCAAATACATTCTTTTGTATGGATTAACTTTTATTACATGTCTGTGACTAACTGAGGAATTACGATCAGTTACGAGAATTTCACCACTATAGAAACATCTACTTAAATTTTTAATTTATTAAGATTAAGCACAAGCGTTTTTATCACTATATGTTCTGGAGCGCAAACCGCAAGTAATTAATCATTCCTTTTCCATCGGAAGCGGCAGCTTACTACTCTTCTTCAACATTTCATATTGACTTCAAACTTAAGTGCTTGTTGTTATAGTGTTCGTATGTACTAGTTGTTTCAAGTTGTATAAAGAGAACGCTGCGTTTCTATGACCCTTTTCTCCAAATTGTAAGTAGGCTTCATTTAGGTTTTATCAATATGGCTGACAAGTTTCAGTGGTTGATAATAATTTTTTAAAGGATTGACTTCTTGTAGAGATTCAGAAATATGACCGGGAAAAGTATACAATATGTCAATTTCTTTAATTGAAAATTTTCGAACCTAAAACCAAACGACCACATCAAATGTACGTATTGTGACGGATGCTACTGACGGCATTACACTTGGTATTGTTATTTGCTGCTAGAGAGACACTACCACAGATAGATATGTATGGAGCGATCAAACTGTATAGATACCCAGGAGACATATGAGAGAAGGCGGTAAGAAGACTGATTGTATATAAATGTATGTTTGGGGATAAGTTGCGAGTATTTCGCCGTAAAAATGTCTCATTTTAACATGTACATATCCTTCGGTCAGATAGGAAATAAACTTCTAATTCAAACAAACAATTCTTGGATGGATGGAAACTGACAATGAAGACGGAAAAAAATTGAAGAATTTCATTACTGATTATTCAGATCAGCAAATTCATCACGAATTATCTGAAATCTCAAACAAATAAGCCATTATTTAGGAATCCTCATTCATCCAAGTATTATGTAAAAATAAGGTTACACTGGCAAACCTGCTGTAAGCTAATTTGAGTGACAAAATCAGTGGACTAGGCTTCTAAGAAACTTCGTTTTGCAATATGTTATCAACAGTTGTTCTATTCGAATTCATCAAAAGACAGACACTTGAACTTTAAATAACTTCATAAGTGTTGGACAATACAACAAATAAAGTGACTGCTCTATTCAGCCGTATAAACTCACATCCGATATCAAACGTCATGATATATCTTAGCCAATATTCATGAAAATATGTCAGTTATGCTTCTTGTTCAACTAAATAAATGGTAAAGTTTTAGACAGACGTACAACACAAATCATTATAAATCTGCGAGAAAACAACAGAACAGATCTATAAAATACATCAGTCAGTACATCGAAGAAAAGAGACACTACGAAATAAGGCACGTTTATACCGATAATAACATGATGACTGTCAACTGAAATCAATGTCATTCAATATAAATGTTAATAATACATTGAATAGATGTGCTTCATGAAGACTGACTAAAGTTTCGAGATAATTAATCTTGATTTTTTGGATTTTGAAGTTACGTGAGTTACGATGGTTACGTAACGACGAATCATGAATGATTGATAACGAACAGTAGGTAAATTCAGGTCTTTCAGTAACGAGAATGGATGGTCTGAACGTGCGAAGATCTTATTGACAGTCATCAGATAACAAATTGTCGGTCTGTGAAGTAAAGTATCCAAGGTCAAGGTAATTATACAGAATAATATTTAGGTATTAGAATAAGCTGCTGAAAAAGGGAATGAAGAGGCGAGGACCCGAACAGAAAATATTCCCGCTAACAACTGATTCGTTGTTTGCACTTAATATTTTTGGATAAAATAAAGATATGAATACTCAGTTCCTAGAACACTAAGCAGATGCACTTTTGTAGGTTTATGAAGATAGGTCACATATAAATTACCGCAAGTGCAAGAATCATTCGACTACAAGTTCAAAAGAACTAAATTGTTTGCAATAGTGATGATTTCCAGAATGATGCAGAGTGATCTGATTCCTAAAAAAGGACATATTATATCTTTTTACCGTTGAAGCTATGGAAGTCACGAGGGAACCCTTCTCCACCAAAAGTTTCATGATCTGATTGAAAAAATATTTATGGTTAGGAATTGAAACCTTTTCAAGGTTACAAACCTGAGTTGTCGACGTGGTTAACAAATGGAAGAATTATCAATAGTAGAGAGCAGTTAGGATAAGGTTGTCCGAAGAATGATGGTAGGCTGCGCAAGTTGCGTCGATAGCAACAGACGCAAAATTGGTCTGTCCACATGGCTCTTTGATACACTATGGTTCATCAAATAAACGAAATGAACCTATCACTTCAGTTTTATATGTTTCCGCTTCACCATTACTTTTTCTTAGAATGATGTCGTATTTATTGTTTTCCATTATAATAGATGGTAATGAAATTAGGATTTCATACATGATACTGAAGTACTTTGACGAGCTGTAGGGGGAACATGAACAAAGTACCTATGTTCTTAGCGAGTATAGGCTGCCGACCACTCTCTCTAAGATCTTACTTGCTCATTCATTTCTCTATTTATTCTTTTCATATCTGCTTCAAAATTTTTGAAAAGTCCCTTACTAAAACAAAATTGGGCCTTGAGGATTCAAGATCACTAACAATGTTATTAAATATGTATATGATTTCAGAAAAATTCCTAAATCCTCAAAATGCTATGATTTGAAGTTCCGTCGCGCTTACTACTTGTACATTTTATTCGTCACACTATGATCGTTGATGCGTTTATATAGGTTCGACTGACTCAAGTAGTTCCGCTGAGACACAAGATATGAAAAGAGATGTTTGGGCAACATTTCGCAAATCAGTGGTTTTTCAAAAATAAATGTTGCAATAATCCATATTTTTACAGGTGTTGGTTATATTCTCCTCAATGATAATTTCTTTCAAATTAATTTCCCCGATTCTGCAGTGTTTACTATTGACAGTCTTTTCGTTTACGTTGATTTGGACACGAATAACACCATCATCTTCGAAAGAAAACGAAATAAGTTTTGATTGCATTTATTGGATTTGTTGTTATCAAACGATTAAGATATGAAAAAAGATGAATTATTTGAATGTGTATTGACAGATTTGAAAGTAATCCATATTGCTGCTATACGTACATTATTGACAACAAAGGCAGTAGAATGAATGTTTCAGCTAACCAGTTCCACTGTGCGTGTAAATGACGTTGTGGCATTTGTGACCAAAACAAAAGTAGAAAGTTTATGAATTATTTGCAATAGAGAACTTAGAGAACATCAATCACAAGTTAATAACTTCGCAGCCCGTGCTTACGTTCACAATATTCCCCATAATTAATGAAGAACACGTTTACATTCCTCAAAGTATTTTATGAATCAAAAATGAATTCATTAAAATTGTTTGTCATCGCTTCAACTGGAAAAGCACAATTGGTCAACAACAATGAAAAATATAATGAACATGTAGTTTCAATATAATCATCAATGCTGATATATCAAGCAAAGCTATAAATAATACGTAAAATATAGAGTATTCTCCAAATTCGATATTTTTCATCAAAAAATATGCTTTCAATGCAATCATCTGTAATTGTAAAAAAAGTTCATTTTCAGTTTGACATTAAATAAACAAAATTAAACACTCCATATTCATCTGAAAAAATAAAGGATATTATCTGATGTAGTGAGTTTACAATCTCGAACACGTTGTTATGATTTCAAACATGCAATTAGCTAGTAACTTATTTGTTTGTTCATTTAAACACTCAAATAATGTAACACAGCATCCAGTATACTGAGGAATGAAACGAAGAAATACTCAGATCTTTATCTATTAAACATCCCACTCTCATGCATTCATCTTACGGTGTCGGAAACAACCTGAATAATACTCGTAAGTATTTCAAGCTGAGGTTTCTGTATGGCGTATGATATTTTAAAGATAAATAAATTTATACATAAACATATATATATATATATATATATATATATATATATATATATATGTAAATAGATTAAGAGAGAAATAAGAAGAGAAATGGTTTATCAGGAACTCACGATTGCCATTGTCCCGCACCAACAAATGACAGATAAAATTGGAAATGCAATCTAGAATATAATGTAAAACAAATATTTAACTTCAAATAATTTTGTGAACACTTGTTTCGCATTCCTAAAATATTATTGATTCACTCCTTAGCTGACTAGTATCTGTGAAGGTGAATGAACTGATGAAACCACCACGACACCAGTCGGTCTTTGTTCGGTTGAATATATGATAACCGCCGTCACACAGTAGGCATATCATTAAGCAACAAATAGTGTTAAATGCACAAAACTGCAAAACTGTTCATGTGACTCTTACGTATAATCTATTATGCATAGGTGAATAAACATGAATTTACATGAATTTACACATGAAAGAATAAGGAACCATATATTATCTTCAATTGTAGTGTATTGTTTCATAACGTTTGATGGTAGCATGGAAATCAAAACATCAAATCTGTAAATTACAGTTGATAATTCTCCAAAACTTACTTTACACGGACTCATCATGATGATGCTTAAAATGCTGCAGACGATTGCAACAGTTGCTGATGCACAGCAAACTAAAAATAAAAGTAACCTCCATTTTCCTGACAAACTTTTCATTCGTCTGGCCAATTCGATAGCAAAGACCAATATTGAGAACGATACAATTGCCACAAGGACCTGCTCATACCACTCAACACCTAACGTCACTAATCCAACACCAATATACATCATTATCAGCTGAAAAGAAAAGCAGAAATGTGTTATTTATTGGAAAAGTCATTTTCAAAGCCGTTACAAACGAGAAAGGCTACTAAAGAATGGCTGGTCAAGCTTTTTTCTCAATCCATATACGTACAAGTTGATCGCTTACGCATGTGTGCTAGCTGTTGCGCATCCTAGTGTACAGAACTCAAATGAAGATGCACATACAATGCAGATTAGAATGCCAGCAAACAAAAGTTAGACTTTGATATGTTTACAGGGTGTGCTATATTGATAACTGTGAGATCTTTTTCGTCAGAGAAAGTGTATATATGTTGAGTAGTTTTATGCAACGTCATCGTATTTCTGTAAAGAATATAACAAAATAAAATTAAAAAAAAAGAGCAGAGGGCAACATTATCAGCTGTCTATCATTTTACTCGGAGCATCAAATGCTGACTAACACATTGTGGAATTACAGGTTTGAATATGAACCAAGCATACATTGCAAATAGAAATAAGAAAATGAGGAATTAATTTAGTTTGATGCTTCTCTGAATTGACCAATTTGCAAAAGCAATGTCAACGGTTATAACAGTAGGCTTTTTTTTCTGTTTATACAGTTTCTCACGCTGCTTCACGTGATCTGTACTCTTCACTTGTCATTCTCGTTTATAGATTATCAATGTAACAGTTATTTCTGTATCTTATGCAGCTCTGAGTCATTTGATCTACTCAAATACACGTATCAATATAACTGTGTATATTTGGGTAAATATTGACAAAGTTCCAGTTGAAAAATAAAATTTCAGAATACTTAAAAGAAGTGGATTCAAACTCATCAACATCATTTGAAAGCATGTTCGACTAACTGTTATGATCATGATGATGATATTCCTTGCAGATGCAGTTTGCAATGCTTTGATGACAATAATGATCAGTGCCAATATTAGAGCGATACCTCTGGAATGTAAAAATAAAATATATGGCGAAATAAACACAAGTGTACAATAACCAATGTATGATTGATCAGTGGTTCCCTTTAAAAAATGTGCCTGTGATTCAGATGAGCAACATTTATATGTGGATATTTTGGATCACTTCGACAACGAGTATACTCGGTGAACGATTTTCATGATGATAGGGTATTATTATTAGTTACTTATAAAATGCAAACAGTTTCTATTAAAATGCCTTCATTGTGATTCTTTGTAGGATTGTGTACGATCAATTTAGTAATGACCCACAATAATTATGAATAAAATAATATAATCAATTATATCGACTTTCGTAACTTACATTAGAACGAGACCAGATATTTCATGTGGCTGAATTGTATAAGTTGTGTTGAATCTGCCATAAAAAATGTTGAGTTCTCAATCATCATGAATCACTTACATGCATGATATTTTCTTGATACACCTTCCATTTTGAATTACTTCTGACATCCTCACGGTTGGAAGAGTTGTATTGGATGAATTCATTAACTCCATCTTTGAGTTCTTCGGCGGAAATTTTATATGCAACAAATCATGATAAAAAAAATGAAATTTTCTGAAATCCTAAAATAATAACTTTTGCAGCTATCATCTCCACTGCTAAAGGTTTGTGAAAAAATATTCAGTTAAGAACATGTCTTTGACACCACCTTTTCAAAAACTCGTGTGATCAAATCTTTTTATCCACAAAATTTCTCTGCTTATCTATTTATCCATCCATCTGACTATCCTTCTCTCTATTATTATATCTATCTATTTATCTACCGATAAAAAATGAATCAGTACGATTCATTTTACTGCCACAGTCATTGCAATAATACATTAAATGGAATGATCAAAATAATATTGTAAGTTATATTTTGTTGCGAAAATTAACAAACTCACGTCGCACTTCTCCTGCATTCTGTTAACAAAATTAAATACAATCACCGAAGTTGAAAATCTTATACGCCAACATATATTGATTCAAATGTGGTTACTCTACTACTGAACTTTGGACCAAATAACAATGGAAACCTCTGCGACATAGATAAGCTTCTATAATTTGGATAAAAAAACAGTAAACCTAATCGATGAACATGTGACAATACTTGAACTTGAAAAAGATGTACTCGACGCTCATCTCGTTATGCTCATATCCTAGGTACGAGTGTGTAGAATTCAGAAAACAAGAGTAATGTTCATCGATATTTTCAAGATACAAAGGTATAAGTGAATAAAATTAAAACTTGTTAAACTGTGAGGTCAATATTTGTAGTTATATAATTATTCACTCCGCATTACTGTTGATTGTCTTTCATATAGTTCATTATGATTTGATCGATTCACTTCATATCATTTTATGGTTGAACAGGATGGCCGTTCACTTAAATCGCCTGATATGTCACCAACCATTTTTAATTGCATGAAAACGGAAAATAGTAGGAGTTTTACTGAAGAATAACAAGTTACAATCTTCAGGACGGTATTTTATATTTGACAACATTGTTGAACGCACTATTCTAAGATAAGATTCTAGAAGTATCATTGATAATAAAAATAGAAATAAGTGCTGAGTGGAATTCGCAGACCTATTGTTGAACATTTGATAATTACTTATCAATCCAATAACCACTAAGTTAAAATAAGTTTTATTTGAAGTACCTGTATTTATTTCACATTTATGTAGAGAACGTGATTCGTTGATCATTATAACTTGTTATACAAGAAATTGAATTACTATTTTCTCAGAGTATTTATTTTTAGTCTATCGTTTTTCGCTTGCATGAATCAGGCAGCAAATATATTCCCTTTGATAGATATGCAATGGTATGATTTAACGATGCTGAAATGGAAACATTTATTGTCGTAGATAGTTAAGGCAGTCATTTCCCTATTATACTCTTTTTTGTTTATCTGTATAAAGATTATAAATCGTGCGCAAGCGTCCCTCCTCGGTGGTTGTTAGCTTCTTTCTTATTCGGTCTTGATATATTTCCGATATCATCAGACCGCGAATCTATACACTTCTTCAACCAGTTAAAGACATCTTTCTGATGTTCGAAATAACCGAGATTTTAGTCACATAGGTTCATCATTCACCATAAAGACAACATTAACTGATTTTTGATTGTAATGAATTTGGAAAGATTTATCCGCTTGTTAAATCTGATGGATTCATTTGATGGTAAACTATTAATTTAACGCCATCGAAAGTCCGAAAATTCAGTATTTCCTTTAACGGACTGGCTTAGGATTTGAAAGTTCTCCCTTATTTACTTATCACATTTATTCCTTTTAATACAAATTTATAAAGTTCATCATCTCTAAGAAGTAGTCAAATATTCGTCCTCAACGCTTCAAAGTTCTGAGAGGCAATAATCTCTTTTTTAAGAGACACATCTTTCTGTCTTGATTAAAAACAAGCTTAGTGTTTTATTCATTAGACATCATACAATAAATCACCCATTTATTGCTCTATCTGCACTAATGATCATTAGTGCAAACGCTTTCGATAAATGGTTGTAATAGGAAGTGAATGCTTATGGATTATCGACACATTTATTTTGAGTATATCTTCCTGCTAGTCTTTCAATAATCCCTTTATAGTGATTAGTGTATGTATTGGTTGATCTAATTCTGAAGATAACTACGAATTTTATATCTACATGAAGTCACTATGTATGCATGTGTAAATCATTTGTACAGCTTTTATTCATGGAGTTAATTATTTCTTCCACCCCATTTCTCATGGATTCCCTACCGTGTCCTATTTTTGATACGTGATTATTTAAACACTTTCTTACTTGAAGTTATAACAGTGGTTATTTATTACGAGGTCAATCAACAAAACAGCTTCCAGGTCAATAAGCTATACATATCATTCGTGGAATCAGATAGCAGGCCAATAGTCTTAAAATCTGACAAGTGGTGATATACTGGTTCATCTTTTAGGGTCCATAAAAGAGACAGAACTAAATATTGAAATAATTTCAAGTGGTTGTGCACTAAATCAAAAGAACATTCGCTGATCCAATTTCCGTATCAAGTAATAAACGGTCACCAAACCTAAACATAGAAGATTAGGTAAATTGAGAGTAAACCAAAGGTAAAATATCGTTGTGATGATAAATATCAATGAGATGTAATCAGAAAATTGCCTTTATGTCCTGAACTGAGCAGTTCAATGATTGAAATACTGACGACAGAACGCTACAATGTTTACTATGTGTCACCATTTCTAAAAATAATTATTGCGAGCTGCAAAATGTCATCTATCAAACTGACAAATTCAGAAGTAGACCATTGTGTTTTATCTGACTGCTTTATTCCCCCTCATATCACGATCATGTTTTTTTGTTCTATTCATATTTAGAAAAAGCATCATCAGGTACCAGAAAAAAGAATGAACGCGCTCGTTGAATAAAATGTAATGTGATTGTTATATACATGAGGAGGTCACACAATAGTCAGAAAGTCATTTAAAACTAGGAACTTCGTACATACTTGCATCAATTCAGGTTGCCAAACAGCTACTTCCAGTTCAAATCTCATAGTTGTGAAGATAGTAGAAGAATTACTGGTAATGGAGAGAATCATGGATGGAAGTTATTATTCAAGAAGTACGGTTCAGTAAGATAACTCAAGAAAGAGGAAGTTATTTGAAAGATAATGATCTCGGATAACGAGACGAATGGACGTTTCTGCGTCACTGTCAGCGATTTCGAAACCAGTTGTTGATGTTCTCAATCCATCAGTTTCTTTTGTTTAGTGTACCCTAATGGTGAAGTCCGAATACATCAACATGATTCAGTACAGCAGTCAGTGAGTTGATGGATTCTTAGGGTATTTTAGTTGGACCGCCATTATTTATCTTCCAACCTATCCCTATTTAACAAGGAGACGGTAGTTACGCAAACGGACACAATCATGTGAACTGATGAAGTCTCAACACCTCATCTATTGATCTACCATCTCTAGATTGTATAGATTTCCCAATTTTAGCATTGCTTATTTGGTTTTTCCGCGATACCTGAGCAGTGCCCCCTAAAAATCTGTAACCGAGTACTGAAATCTGCACCGATGGGTCTTAAGAAATAAGTGAAGTAGACACGAATAACTACTTCATTCCCTACCACTAGATCAAACGCAGCTGAAACCGATCCCGAAGCAACATTTTGCATTTCTCATTAGAAATTCACATCTCGAGCAAGCTTGCAATGTTGCTTAGGATAGTAGGGAGAGTCTGCATTTTATCAGCATCTACATTAGATAGAAATATATCATCAGTACACACTAAATCATCAAGCATATCTGCAGTTATCAAGTATACCTTCCAATTTGAGGTTTTAACTGAGGATTTCATTCACATATTTCACAGATTTTAGAATTATTGTTCCTCATGATAGTTGTGATTGAGTTCTAACTGTCAATGTAGTTAGGCTGCACGTGATCTCGGCATATAACGGTTCTAATGTTCATCACAAATTCGCATCATGACGTAGATAATATGACCACTCACATATTCTACCCACAATTGTGCAATTTTTCAAACAAAGATCAACAGATAAATGATATTCTAACCCTCATGGATAGATTCTATTCATTCGATAGATTATATTTAGTTACTTAACAACACAGAGTGGTTTTCATTCTGGGAACGTGCCTCCATTCTCATTCGAAATCCACAATTTCAGTCAGTACGAGCAACTGAATCAAAAAGAGCACAAGTCATTATCGCTGTTACCATGACAAGATATTCGAACAAATCAACATAAATGAAGTTCAGAAAGAAACGAAGAACATCAATGCAGGCTACAGAAATAAAAACTGTAATAAACTACAAATTACACCATCTGAAACGAAAGAGAACATACTAACAAAATTCGCAACTCAAGAAATCGATAATAACGAAGTATAAATATAAATAATATGGGAAGCGAAGCCCTCACAACGTATAATACAGTGGGTTCAATCTTAAAATGTTAGACAATGAACGGCCATGTTAGACAAAACTTGATAAAGAGAATTCTTATGAAAGTTCTTCATAATCTGTGACAAGACCGATTGTATTCGAATAGACAAACTTTATAAGAACAGTCTTCAGATACAGGCACTTTCACAAGACCACATGATCAACACCGCGAAATGCTGTTTCAAGGTCGAAAAAGTCTATTTCTGCGAGTAGTCGGAACGAGTGTCTCTTATTTAGGAGCTTATATTCTGTGAAAATGTGGTGTATATATCCACCCCCAGGTTGAAAAACTAGCATTTATTTCTCTAGTCTGTCTTACGTTTAACAGCATAAAAGTAAACTGACAAGATGCATTGCGGCCTCAACAAACTATGTACGTTTTATATTCGAAATCTTCAAAATGCTTCACAGACTAATTTGTTGGTTAGAGACCTACATAGGTCATTGTGCGAGATAAAGGTTACCATAATATTAGGTAGACAACTGGTTGAATGTGACTTAAGTAAGTCGGTCTACTGATGTAATAATGATGTATTCGAACCCTCGATTGTTAAAGATCGAGATGATTTACTTTTTACGACCCATTTTTATTTATTAAAGACATTCAAAATGAATAATTTAGTAGGCAGCAGCAAACCGAAGAGGATGCAAAAATGTGTTGATCGAAATTTCTTAGTTCTGAGTGCCTTCCAAATAAGGATCACCCAGAACAGCTAACTCACACAAGCAAGCCATTAGGTATATAGTTTCAAATTTCCTACTCATCCGAGCAAGCGGAATCCCGAATCGTAGTTTCGTTTCTCTTCAAAAAAGAAATTTACTACCGAAAATTAAACTGAAAATCGCTGAGGCTGGTATAATTATCTGTGCTGATACCATTCAGCTTGATGGTAATACCACTGGTAACGACAGAATTGTATGTTACTAGGACTCAGCTACCTAGTTTGCATCTAGTTGGTGCTTCTCAA